ATATTATTAAAATATGTAATTTTGTCATAATATGTTCAAATAATAATAAACCACATATTTAATATTGTGTCTTTTTAACAGAATGTTTTTGAGCTTTTTATATAAGAAATAATTCACTGTTTATTATTATGGGTATTCATTATTATTTAAAATGCATAAATCATATGAAAATACAAAATAATTTATGAGTCAGTAATTCTTATCTCTCATCCTCAAATAATGAAGCTTAATATTTGTTGGGAATTTCAAGGTACTAGATATTTTCCAAATTTCTTGACAGATTTTTCTCATGATTCAAAAATATGCAAAAATTTCCAAGGAATTCCCACATGGAAATATTACCAGATACTATATTAAGCCCATCAATATGCATTATCTCATTTAGTTATCATAGTGCCCTCTGATGTAAGGACACTTTGCTAGCTCCATGTTATAAGAATGAGGATGCTAAAACACAGATGAAGAACAGGCAAGACCCTAAAGACCACCTAACCAGTAGAAGGTAGAACAGATTTCAGGTCATCTAGCTCTGGAATACATGCTCTTAGCTGATGCATTATTGATTAGTAAGCCAGAGGTGGGGTTCTGGAATTAAGTAGAAATGGTAGAATTGGAAACGTACCCTTACATTTGTTTCTTTCTCTTTCTGAAGGGTGTTATGGCTTAGGTGCATTGTTTATATAAGATAAATAGTAGTATGAAGTAAAACTGTAGGGCTTAATATCCTTTGAGCTTTCCAAACCAGTTCCACACAATTGAACTTTCCCCATTCTTAAAATAAAATAAAAAAAAGATCATCAAAGAAGTAACTTGATTTTAGAGAATTACTGTGTACCAGAGCAGGTCCAGATAAATGACAGATTGAGGAATTAGCCTTGCTACTTTCAGAAAGGGCTGTGTGCTTTGTGGCTGCAGACAGTCTGGTATTTACTGAAGAGTCCTCCTGTGTCTGCTTTGCCTGGTATACATAAACAGGCCTGTTCTGATGCTGGTTAATCCTTTCTTCAAAGTGTATGTCTCATTCCCTGATAACACTATGAGTTAGCTCTACCATGGTATGTCAGACTCATTTAATAGCACTTTCTAGCAACACGTTCACATTGTCTGCATCTGTAGAGACAAAGGGAGAATAATGACTTCACCTTTTAAAAATAACTTTTTAAAGCAATGATCTTTAGAGTTTAGCTTTCTACATGCCAGAATGCTGGTTAGAGCAGCTGTTTAAAATTTCCCAAATTGTTTCTGGAAATGTCAACAAAATTACTGGTTTGGTGTGAGCTGATCAAATTTCTAGAATTTGAGGACTCAAGAGAAAATAAAGAAGAAAAAAGAACATTATGTGGAATTGTGGGGTTGGTTGCCCAGAGATTATGGTTTTCTTGCATGATGACGTTAGGACATGTGCAGAAGAGGGAGTTAGGCAGATGGCTTAGTTTTAATACTAACAGCATTGGAGTATTGCTTGGTTAGGAAATATCCTATAGCTGTACCTTAGAATGATGCACTTATAAATGTCTTACTGGAAAGCCAAGTGTACATATGGTGATTATGAGCTTTGGACTTGGACAGATCTGATTTTATAGACTGTCTCTACCTGTGTACTATTTAGTCTTGGACAAATTGAGTAGCTACTCTGGGATTTCTCATCTTTGAAAAGTAGGAAATATAGAACCTGAGCTTGTTATGGAGATTAAATGGGACATTTAAAGCTGTTAATACAGAGTATGTGGTAAATGGTAGATACCAGAAAGAAGAGGTAGTGCTTTTTATTGTTATTGGTTGAGACATCTTTATTTATTGAGCACCTTTCTTCATGCTGGGTAATTTCTCAGTGTGGTGATGTGATGATTAATAAGACAAACCCAGTTCTCACCTTAACAAGATGTGAAAGCAAACAATTAAAATAAATGGATTAAAGTCTGTCAGGGCTAGAGAATATGGGATACTAGGGGAGCACATAAAAGAGACAGCTAATGAAGTCCTTGGAAATTAACAGAACGTGTAGTTAACATCAGAAGAGAAAACTCTCTGTTCCTGGCCTGGCCAAGTGTATGAGCAAATTCACTGAACCCCACCTCCTGTGCCCACTTCCTGACACCAAAAATCCTCAGAAAGTTTTGTTTTTATTTTTAAGGAAAAGAAATTAACATACAAAGGCAAACCAGTTTACCCTAAATATATTGATTTTGGTGTGTGAAATACAACCCAAATGTCCCAAATTAGCAAGTATCCTGTCCTGGGTATCATATAATATGGGTTCAAGATAATTAAAGTGGCCACATGATATTTTCTTGTGTGTTATATCACTTTTCCTAATGATAACACTCAGCACTTTCCCTTGGGTCAAGAAAGATCCAACACATGCCAAACTAGGAGGAGACAGATGAGAAGTTTCTCTGCTCTTCCATATCTCCAGGGTAGGTGGGGTTCAGTGACTTCTGCAACAGAAAAATTCATTTAATATGTGTGGTTAAACATCAGGCTACAATAGATGGAGACATAAAGCAAGAAGGAGAACCTTAAGAACATGCTAATTCCTTACACACTATTTTGGTGTAAATGACAGTATATTGCTTCTATTAAATAAAAGCCGAAAATAAAATCCCTTCTTTTCCTATACTGTATATTGATGCTAATTCAAGTGTGTGTTTGATAATTCAGTCATTCCTTAACACACACTCCATTGTATTATGTTGGAAGGTGTTATAGTTTGGATATAAGCTCCTCCTAATGCAAGAATATTCCCAGGTAAAATGGTTGCATTATGAAAGCTGTAACCTAATCTATCCATCACCTTTTGAATGAATATGCTAGAGTGTAACTGTAGGCCTGTGGGGTGATTGGAGGACATGAGTCACTGGGGGCATGTCATGGAAGGGTGCATCTTGCCTGTGGCTCTTCCCTGCTTCCTTTCTCTCTGCTTCCTTACTGACATGGGAGCATCTTCTCTGCCATGTCTTTTCCCCATGATGCTTTGCCTCACAGTGGGCCCAAAGCTATGGAATTACCTGCCTATGGGCTGAAACTTCTGAAACTTTGGGCTCTAAATACACTTTCCTGCTCTGAGTTGTTCTTGTTGGGTATTTTGGTCAGAGTGACCTAAAGCTGACTAAAGCAGGACAACCCTGTGACATTGACGTGTGGGGATTTTTCAGTGAATTTGCTCTTACTTGGGTCAGTCTGGGCCAGTGGTTTTTTTCCTCCCCCATGTTCTGTTGATTTCCCAGGCTCTCATTAGAGCCCCTCTTGTGTGTTCCCCCCAGTCCTGGCTGGCACTTAGCCCATTGATTGTAATTGCTTTCCTTCTTGTCTCATTTTGACCTTTTCACTATTGCATCATCATCCTCGAAAATTACCCCACCCAAAGGAAAGTGCTCAGCACACATTGCATGTATTAAATGAAGGAGCTGATACAGACATGCACATTGTGGTCAGATCTGCTTTTGCTGACTTCCTCCTCTCTATCTGCTTTTGATCTAGATAATGATGAGGGCTGCTCCAGAACCTAGATAACTGAGTCTTAGTTTCACCTAAAAATAAGTCAACCCTGTGGGGTTAGCTCCACATGTTACCCCAGGCATGTTTGGAATTTATGCCAGATTTTTTTTTTTTAACTTATGCCATTAGGAGGCTTTTTGTACCTACTTCTAAATTTCCAGCTATTTTGAATGACTGAGATAACAGGATCTATTATCCTTCCTGTGGAAGGAGGCAGAGAAGCCTAGAGCTTAGAGGTAAGCCAGCCAGCCATCCAATTAAAATTTCTAATGAGCAACTATGTAATCTTATTACTCATTTAAAGCATCAGTCACTTTATCTGTTCAATGGGATCAATAATAAAAATACTTCATAGAGTCATTGTAAAGATTGAGATAATATATATAAAAGCTTACCTAATGCTTAGCACATATTCATTAACTTGGATTTTTATTATTATTTTGTTATTTTTATGATATTTAAAATATTTTAGTATTTATTATTAATATTTAATTATTTTATTATTACTAAATTATTTTGTAGTTCTAAATAATCAAATTATGGTGATATTAATGAATTGCAAAAATGGGAACTGTCAGAACATTCCTGGGAACTACCAGTGTGGTGACCTTGAAAATATACTGCTCAAACCTCCTGATGTGGGGAGAATGATTGAGTAATAGCCCCTGCTGCTTTTCTCTCAGTGTACCTCTGCTTCCTATCAAGGCCAGGCTTCCCTCACAATGCTCTTAGCTGGTGGTGAGCAGAGTGGTGCTACCAATGCAGGCCTGTTCTTGTAAGGCATGGGGTGCCCTTAATGGATAATTTTGGCTCAAGGATTCCCCATGTGTCTGATGGAATCTTCCATAAAGCTATGCTGCAGGCTGAGACACTCCCTGCCCAGACTCTCCTTTTTCCCTTCACAGAGGTCAAACTCGTATTGTAGTCTAAGGTTCTCCCTGCTGTTTCCAGCTTCTTTTCTATTTCTTTTACTGATGTTTCCCTCAATAAACCTCATGTTCATCTTAGTAACTGCTTTTTAGAAAATCTGAGCTAATCCAAGAATTGTAATAGTTGTTGGAAGAGAGTAACAATCTATACCTTAGAGAACAAGGTATAGATTTTCTCCATCAGTTATAAAGTAGATATTATTATGGAGTTTAAATTGATCTTTGTGTTGTTGCATTTTCTCAGAATTAAAATATGGTCCTAATGATCATAAATTCTCTAGAACAAGCATTAATCACCCTTTCCTTAGGGAAGGCCACTAGAAGTTAGGGTATAACATGCTAATATGCAGACTGAATTTTTAAATTGCTGCTATTGAGGACAGTTAGTCTCAGGTCTTTAACAAGTAGTTTTAATTGTTAACATTCAAGAACCAAAAATTTATTCCCCCAAAATAAACAAAATTGACAAGTCTCTAGGATATCTATTTATTTTTATAGTTTAATCTTTTGCCTATTTCTTTGGTTTTCTTATCATTCTACCAAATCCTCACTTGATTACTATTTTTGTGACAGACCAGGTCCAGGGTACAGTCACTATCCGGAACATCAGTGCTCTCTCTTCAGGTTTGTATCAGTGCGTGGCTTCTAACGCCATTGGAACCAGCACCTGTCTTTTGGATCTGCAGGTTATCTCACGTAAGTATGTAGAATCATGATGCCAACTCTAGGTGTGAAACTCCATAACCTTTGTCAAACCAGTAAACAAAGGATTCTGGTTGTTTTGAGATTGTCTGAAGATTGAATAGAAATTCTTTCAATTTTAATAATAGTTGAAAATATTTTGTAAATATCAGTGTACTTTTTAAGTATATGATGATCTTTATGACAAAATGTCTTTCTCTTCAGGATTATTAGAATTAAACCAATTCTTATTTCATAGTGCTATAGACATATAAATTTACAATGAGCTTATATCTGTAGCAAGACCTTCTTCTGTTTTTTTCCTAATTCTTTTTATATGCCTGATTTTGGGGTATCTGATTATAAATAAGCAGTGAAGGAAATTTCTTTTTAGTTGAGAATTCTGGGCTATTTGAATTCTAGTTGCAAAAGGGAGGAATGTGGCTGGGATGAAATCATTAGGTATCCCATGGGTGCCAGGCTCACTTGGGGCACTCAGACAAATTGGATAGGCACTGTCTGTTCCTGCTCTGCTCCAGCTGCTGCTGTCTTGAAACTGTGTGAGTTGCTTAATGATTTATTCATTCACCAGATGTTGAGAGCCTACTATGTGTTAGTCTTCACCCCTGGGGATATAGCTCAGTTGGTAGAGTGCTTGCCTTGCATGCACAAGGCCTTGGGTTCAATCCCCAGAACTACACACACAGACACACACACAGACACACAAAAAAAGTTAACAGAGGTTTAGCTTTATATGGATGTGATACTTCAGGCAGTTTTGTATGCTATAATTAAGCTTACATATGTTTATACTTTGTATGGGTATATGCAATTTCTCTCTCTTCCTCTTTCTTTTCTTTAAATCCACCTTAAATATGTTTTGCAGCCCAGCCCAGGAGCATTGGACTAATAGCTGGAGCCATTGGCACTGGTGCAGTTATTATCATTTTTTGCATTGCACTGATTTTAGGGGCATTCTTTTATTGGAGAAGCAAACATAAAGAGGAGGAGGAAGAAGAAATTCCTAATGAAATAAGGTCTGTATGTCAGATGATTTGTCCTACATAGCCAATGTGTAATCTGTTCATTTTGGCAGTCAGGATTTCTTTGCTAATCTTATAACTCTGATGGCCAAGATAATTAAAGTGGCCACATGATATTTTCTTGTGTGTTATGTCACTTTTCCTAATGATAACACTCAGCGCTTTCCCTTGGGTCAAGAAAGATCCAACACACACCGAACTAGGAGGAGACAGATGAGAAGTTTCTCTGCTCCTCCATATCTCCGGGTAGGTGGGGTTCAGTGACTTGCACAATTGAAAAATTCACTTCATATGTGTGGTTAACATCAGGCTATAATAGATGGAAACATAAAGTAAGAAGGAGAACCTTAAGAACGTACTAATTTGTTACACACTAATTTGTTACACACTATTTTGGTGTAAATGACAGTGTATTAGCTTGATTTTCATTACTATTACAAAATACCTGAGGCAGGAATTTTGTTATAGAGGTTTACAAAAGAGTTTTATTTTGGCCCAGGGTTCTGGAAGGGGAAAGGAGGCCATATCTGGTGGTGGCCTCCTTGCTGGCAGGCTTGAGGAGGTTGCACAGGAGTGTGTGTGAGTCTGTATCTGTGTGGTCTCTCTCCATCTTCTTATAAAACTCTCAGGATCTAGTCATGGAGCCCCACCCTATGACCATATTTAATCCGAATCATGTCCCAAAGACCCCACCTCCACATCCCAAAGTGACTAAGTTTTTCACCCTCAAAAAACCTCACAATGCGAATCAAATTTCAACACTTGAGCCCTTAGGAAGCTCTCAAACTGTAAACACTGTACTAGACAGTTCAGATGAGATGTCATGTCAAGATGATCTTTAAAGAAAAGTGACTTTGGGCATCTTATGGAGATTTGATGTTACAAGCTCAGTCTCAGCTTTCATTATATCATATCCTGTTGAAAATGATTTAATGGTTCCAGTCTCCTTAGCAGGACCTGCATTGCCTTCAGGATCTGATAGCTTCCCTGCTTACTCTGTGCTCCATACTACCCTTTATCTTCCCTGTCTCAGTGTCTTTGCTCAAGCTTCTGCACTCTCCTGGTCCATGCACCTTCTTCTTTCATTATCTATTAAATAAATCTCTTGATTTAATTCAAGACTAGTCAGGCATCACCTCTTCACATATAATGTCTTATTAGCCTCTTGCCCAACTTTTTATACTTATAGATGTTTTTGCATTTATTGTCATCACCGTTTAACCATAGGCTTCTTGGGTGTCTTCTTTCTTTCTTTCTTTCTTTCTTTCTTTCTTTCTTTCTTTCTTTCTCTCTCTCTCTCTCTTTCTTTCTTTCTTTCTCTCTCTCTCTCTCTCTTTCTTTCTCTCTCTCTCTCTCTCTCTCTTCCTTCCTTCCTTCCTTTCTTTCTTTCTTTCGTGCTTAGGTTGGAACCTGGGGCCTTGGCATGCTAGACAAGCACTCTTACTCTAAGCCATATTCCTAGCCCCAGTTAGGTGTCATTTTTGCATGAAATATATAGAAGAATGTGCTCTATAAATGTTAAATAGATGAATCAACATCTAAACTAATGACATCTGTTTGCCTCTTTGGGCTGTGTATTGGAATAGGTTATTGAGGAACAAGAATTACTGAGGAACATCTCTCATAAGCACAATCTCAAATAGTAATTTGATTTCTCAAACTCCAAATGATAATAAAATCAAGCCAACACTAATGATTTCTTGAAGTTCTTCATATATAGCTTGTTGTGTGTGTGTGTGTGTGTGTGTGTGTGTGAGTGGTGTTGGGGATTGAACCCAGGGCCTTGTGCATGCGAGGCAAACACTCTACCAACTAAGCTATATCCCCAGCCCTATAGCTTGTTTTTGTAGCTATTTGATGACAATTCACTCAGTGGATTTCTTTATGGACTATTTAGAGTCTTTCTTTCTCTCTCTCTGTGTGTGTGTGTGTGTGTGTATATATACACATATATATTATGTATTTATATAATTTACACACAAAACATATATATATATACATATATATATATATGTATGTATATATATATGTGTATGTTATATTAGAAGAGATATTCTTTGAGAGATCTAATAGTTCCTTTTCTACTGAGAAACTGAGGAAAGAATTCCTTGACTATTGTTTCACAGGAAGTGGGTACCGAAGCTGAGGCTAAGCATGGCTGCCATGTTTGCTTCATGATAGACCATTTGTTTCAGACATACTAACGTTAACATTAAAAAAAAAAAAAGATTCCTGGGTAGGATGATAGGATAAATCTGAAGTAAATCCTAATGACAACTTTTGTTCCTTCTCAGAGAGGATGATCTTCCACCTAAATGCTCTTCTGCCAAAGCATTTCATACAGAGATATCCTCCTCAGAGAACAACACGCTGACCTCTTCTAACACCTACAACAGTCGATACTGGAGCAACAATCCAAAAGTTCATAGAAACACGGAGTCATTCAACCACTTCAGTGACTTGCGCCAGTCTTTCTCCCTTTACTCAGGCAATGCCAACATCCCCTCTATCTATGCTAATGGGAACCATCTGGTGCCGGGTTCACATAAGACTCTGGTAGTGACAGCCAACAGAGGGTCTTCACCGCAGATCATGTCCAGGAACAATGGTTCAGTCAGCAGGAAGCCTCGGCCTCAGCACACACACTCCTACACCATCAGCCAAGCAACATTGGAGCGAATTGGTGCAGTTCCTGTCATGGTGCCAGCCCAGAGTCGGGCAGGGTCCCTTGTATAGGACATGAAGAGAGGTTGTGTTCAGAAAAAAATAAATGGGATGCCTCCATACAAGGGGAAGGGTAGGTTGGGTGAGTGCTGGGAAAGATAGACTTTCCTTATGATTATATTAGACAAAAGCACAAAGAGGAAGACAGTGCTGTTACTGGCCACTAAGATGTGTACAGTGGACTGGAATGCTCCATCGTGAAGCCTTGTCTCCCCACAACAGATGTCCTGGGATTCTTTTCAAAAAGCTGCATCTCAAAGATGTGCCAAGCCAAGGAGAAATATAAGAGCAGAATGGCACTTAAAACTCAAAACTACAGTCCAGATGGGCTTGTTCTTTAATTCATGCCTAACTTAATAATTTCAAGAGATTAAAGTGCCAGATGGAATTTAATAAGGAAATTATTTAAAAAATAGGTGTCTTTAGAAAAAATAATGAGCAACCCTGTAATGTGTTCTGCCTCTGCCTGTTCAGTCCCTCATTGTGTAGAGGGCTGGATGGCATAAATGGTTAATATTGGTCTTAACAGTGATGGCTCTTCTGTCACATAGAATCAAAACTTTTTACACAAACAAAATTTAGCGAGAAATGGAGGAAAACAAAGGAGACTTCTTTGAGAAACCCCTCCATATTTATTTATTTATTTCTTCCTGAACCATGAATTTCATATTTGGAATTTTGCTATATTGACAGATTCTTGTCTGTCTGTGTTATTCTAGGATCTGTTACAGGTCCATGGCATAACTGTTCATTATTTCCTGGAAAAGTATTTTTTTTTAAAGAAAACTTTTTTTTTTTTTTTTAAATACATGAGAGGCATTGGACTGGGCAATGAAAAGACTTAACACCTTGTTTGGTTATTATAGTTAGTAAACCTAGCAGAAGGTCTGACACAAAGGGGCGAGGTTATTTGGGCAGCTCAGAAGCAGGAAGGCAGGTGTATGGGACCTTAGCCTTCCTGGGCAGCTTCCCAGAGTGAATTTGACCAGGTCTCCCTTGCTGTGACACCAGGTTACTCTTAGTGAAGGCAGCACTTGATGCCTTTTGTCTCAAAAGGCATAATTCTTCCTTGTTTGACAGAGGTTGGGTTATTGTAGGAAGGGCAAGATTATTGTTTGTTTGTTTCAAAATAATTCTTTTTGCAAAAGAGGTAAGACTGAGACAAACAGGGTAACTTGCAGCATGTTCCTGGGAGAGTCTGCACTCTGGCAGCTCAGGTTTGCAATTTTGCCCAGATGCATTTTACACCATTGTAAAGAGACTCCTCTTGTGACTAATTACCTGGCTTGGTTGGTCCTGTAGTTCACCAGATTAGTTTACAAACTCCCCATTCAGTTTTGTGCTATGAAGATCTGGCCATACTTGTATTGGTGGCTATCTCGCCTTAATCACACTTTAAGAAACCTACAGGTGATTTCTTCCCAGATGTTTCCCAAATTATTTATGATACCAACCCCATGATTCAGTAAGAACATCTTTCCTTCCCTCATGTGCTCTCACTCCCTCTTCCCACCATGATTCTTGACTTCTGATTTCTCACTTTTCTGAGTGACTGGATGTGAACAGCTGTTGTATACATGATTTTCCCAAGTGGACTACACTCGGAACCTAACCGTTGCAACCATTTAATGTTGTCACAAAGCTGAATTTACCTTAGCATTACTTATTTTTTTCCATTTGATGGTTCTTGACTTTGTAAAAATTTAAATAAATGAATGTCTATACTTTTTATAAATAAAAGTGAAAATACCATGACACAGAAAAGATGATACTATCAGATGCTGTTTAGAAAAGCATTTATCTTGCATTTCTTTATTCTTTCTAATTATCTAAAATTCAATAAAATTTTATTCATATAAAATAAGTTGTCATTAATTATCATACTAATAAATATATGATTTTTATTTAACAATCCCCTTGATGTTAAATGCATTTTTCCATTCCATTAAATAATATTTATAACCAGGTTAATGAACGTGTAATATTTCAAAAACTACTTACCTTTCTTTTGTTGTTTGAAATTTAAGTTAGTTCTAGTTTTTACACATGATTGGATTTATAATTACCCTCTTCAGACTTGAGCTGTTTTCATATTTCTTAGTCTGAAATTTCATGAATATGGGGTCCACACCTGCTCTTTTTACCACTGAATCTCTTATCACCTACCATAGTGCCTACTATGGGTGTTCAAGTGATAAATGACTGATGATTTGTAAACTGAAATCGCCCAGTCAAGTTATGGGCATGATTATAGCTCTTGATATATATTGGATCATACTTCACTAGAAGAAATGTAAAAGTTTGCTTTAAATTTTTATTTTGAGACAATAATGCATTTATATGCAGCTATAAGAAATAATATACATCACAAATAACCCTTCACCTCTTTCTCCCAGTGGTGACATCTTGTATAACTATTGCAACATACCACAAATTGATATGGATACAATCCATTAGCCTTACTCAGATTTCAGATTTCAGTACTTGTACTTGCATTCACGCGTGTGTGTGTGTGTGTGTGTGTGTGTACGCGCAAGCATGCACATTTCATTGTGGGCATTTTATCACTATGTAGATTGATGTGACCCCAACAATTGACATCCATGTGCTGTTCACAGTACCTCCCTCCTCTTCAATTCCATAATCTCTGAAAATGACTACTCTGTTTTCCATCATTATAAATTTGAGAATGCTATATCAATGGAACGTGTAGTATGTAAGCTTTGAGGATTCCTCTTTTTTCCACTCAGGATAATTTTCTTGAGCTTCATCTAAGTTATTGCATTTATCGACAGTTTGTTCCTTTTTATATAGATTATCATTGTATGATATGGACATACCACAGTTTAACTATCATTATTGAAAGGTACAAAGGACGGTCTATTCTTCATAACTATTAAAAGATACAAAGGATGATTGGATTATTTCCAGTTTGGGACTATTATGAGTAAGCAGCTAGAACCATTTGTGTATAGGTTTCTGTGTGAGCATGTTTTTCATTTCTCTGCGATAGGAGCCTAGGAGTAAAGTTGCTGGGTTGCATGTGTTATGTGCATGTTTAGTTTTAAAAAAAATGGCGTACTCTCCCAAAGTGGCTGTACAGTTTTATATTTATTCCCACAAGTAAAAGTGATCCAGTTTCTCTACATCCTTAACAGTGTTAGATATTATCAATATTTTTTATTTTAGCCATTTTGATAGGCATGTCGTAATATCTCATTATGGTTTTAATTTGCATATTATGATAGCTAATGATGGAGAACATCTTTTTATGTATTTTTTATATCTGTGGCCCTTTCAGCAATATGTCTGTTCATGCCTTTGGCCCATTTTCCAGTTGCTTGTTTTTTTTTATTGTTGTTGTTTTTGTTTTCTTTCTGCTGTTGAGTTTTGAGAGTCCTTTGTGTATTCTAGACGAATGCAAGTTCTTTGTTGAATATGTTGTTTGCAAATATTTTCTCCAATTTATCTCTTGTCTTTTCATTCCTTTCATGGGGTCTTTCGTAGAGCAAAATTTTAAATTTAATGAGGTCATTCCAGACATGGTGGCTGTGCCTGTAATCCCAGCTACTTGGGAAACTGGGGCAGGAGGATTGCAAGTTTGAGACCTGTCTGGGTAACATAACAAGATGCTTTCTCATTTTAATGGAGTCCAATTTTTCAATTTTTCATTTTGTGGATTCTGCTTTTGGTGTCAAGTACCTAGACCCAGGTACTGAAGATTTTCATTGATTCTTTTTTTACCCTAAGTTTTATGGTTTAACTTCTGTGATCTAGTTGTTTTTTTTAAATAATAGATGAAGTTTAGGTTGAGGTTTATTTATGTATTTATTTTTGCCTATATAGATCTAGTTGCTCTGTCCTTTCTCCAGCGAATTGCTTCTTTGTAAAAGGTCCTGTAGGCATGTCTCTGTGAGTCTCTTTTCTGAGTTCTACAGCTGTTTCATTGATCTTTTTGTGATTATCCTTCCATAAAATTATCTAATACCATGCTGACCACTGTAGTTATTTAATAAGCTTTAACACATGGTAAATGAGTTTCTTACACATGATCTTTCTTTTTCAAAGTTGTTTTAAGTATTTGAGATCCTGTGACTTTCTATATAAATTTAGAAATAAGATAGTCTGTATTCACAAAACACCTTGCTTTTTTCATAGGAATTACATTGACTTTACAGAATCTATTTGGAAGAATGCCATATTCGCTGTGTTAAATCCTCCAATCCCTGAACATGATATGTTTCTCTATTCATTTAGGTCTCTGATTTATTCCACCAGTATTTATAATTTTCAGGATACAGATACTCTAATGT